CTAAGGAAATCAAAGTTGTCCTACTTTCCTTGATGGGTAACCCTGTCTTTGAAAATCAGCTTTTTTTGGCTTCTATTTTAGTTAAACCTATCACTTCTCGGCTTTTGGTTAAGATCAAGTGTAGTATTATAGTTAAACCTTAGGACTCAGGATTCCTAAAGGTAAGTTCCCTACTTATCTATTCTGCATCTTCAGTCTTTTCTGTCTTTACTAACAAGGGTGATCCACAGAAAAGAGAGCATCCATGAGCTACAACTCAATCTCTGAACAAAAAATAACATATATGATAATTACAATCATAATGAAATATGTATGTGGGAGAATAAGGCCAGAAAGGGAATGAACAGGAAAGAAAATCATTATATTAATGAGGGTGGGGTTACTTGTACTAAGAATACATAAAGAACTTCTACAAACAATAAAAAAAGAGTGACTCAATGAAAAAACAGCCAAAATATACAAATGAACAAATATTTACAAAGGACAATGTTGGGGGATAAGGGTGTATAGGTCAGTGATAGGAGCCCTGCTCAGCACACCCTGGGTTTGACCCTCAGTACCACCTCCCTCCAAAAAAGGTGTTGTATAACCATCTAGCACATGATAAAACACAACATTCTCAAGAATCAGGAAGACACAAATTAAAACCACAATGAGGTACTGCACTGTACATCCTCTAGGGTGACTAAACAAAAAGACTGGCAGGCCAGGGATATAGCTCAGTGGTTCAGCCACTTGCCTAGCAAGTGCAAGGTCCTGAGTTCAATCCCTGGTACAAAAAAAAAAAAGGGCTGGCTCGGAACCTGTAGTGCCAGTTACTTGGAAGACTAAGGCAGCAAGAGGATCCCTTGAGCCCAGGAGTTCAAAGGCAGCCTGGGCAACATAAAGAAACTCTGTGGGAAGGGGAGACGACAAGACAGACAGAGAGACAGAGACACAAAGACAGAGACACAGAGACAAAGACAACAGACAGAGGAGGTGGGGAAAGAGAAGGAGAGAGGAAAGGGGAAATGTTTATATTTTTTAAAAAACTAAAAAGGCTAGCAACACTAAAAATATGAATTAACTCATGTCAAGGCCTTGAGCACGCTAAGCAAGTACTTTCCTACCAAGCAAGCTACAGCCCCAGTCCCTGGCAGTTTCAAAGTTAAACATACATAAACCCACATTCTTAGAGAAACAAAAATATATATCCACAAGAAACTTGTAAGAATGTTCACTACAACTTTTTTGTTTGTCTTTGGCTTTTCTGAGACAGAGTTTTCCTATTAGTCCAGGCTTACCTTGAACTCACTATGATGCCCAGGCTGGATGCCAACTTGTGGCAATCTTTCTGCCTCAGCCTCTTAAGTGCTGGGATTACAGGCCACCATGCCCAGCTTCCTAACAACTTTGTAAAGAGCCTAGACCTGGAAACAACTCAAATGTCCATCAAGAGAAAAATGTATTAGCAAATTAGACATAGTCATAAAATGGACTACTACTCAACAATTTAAAAGGACAAATCATTGATATACAACACAAATGACTCTCAAAATACTGTTGAACGGTACAAAAAAGCACATCCTGTGTGATTCTATTTATGTGACATTCATGACTGGACAAAACAAATTCACGTGTCAGAAATCTCTGAAGTCAGAAAGCACTGGAGAAGGAAGGATGAGGGAATGGCTGGAAAGGGGCAGGAGGGAACTCTCTAGGGTGGTAAGAAGATCTTTATCTTGTTTTGGTAGAAATTGCAGTGTATAAAATCATGAAAACTCCAAGAACTGGATACTCAAGATCTGTGCATTTACTGAATCTTAATTATACCTCAATAAAAATTACAAAGTACAGGGCCAGGGATTTGGCTCAGAGGTTCTGCCGCCGCCTGCCTCAAAAGCACAAGGACCTGAGTTTGATCCCCAGTACGAAAAAAAAAAAAAAAAATTTACAAAGTACAGTCTGGTGTTACAGCTCAGCAATAGAAAACTCTATTTGCCACTTTGGATTTATAATCTTATTCCTTCATTACTGTAAAAAAAAACCTAATGAAAGCTAAGCATGGTGGCACATGCCTCTAATCCCAGTCATCTGGGAGGTTGAGGCAGGAGGACTGCAAATGTGAGCCTAGTCTGGGCAACTTAGCAAGACCCTGTCTTAAAATAAAATACAAAGAGGGCCTAGGGATACAGCTCAATATGAAGCCCCTGGGTTCAATCTCTTGTACAAAAAATAAAAAACAAAACAGAAAACAAAACCAACTAATGGATTACAGACGTATGTTTATATATTTAATCTGTCACAAACAGAAAACTGAATTGACTCTCTACAATTTTACTGTACACCTAATGGATTGTTATAAGTTTGGAAGAAATTTGTTTCCGCTACTGTTTTCCTCTCAGTATGATTTTAAACTTGTGATTTTAAAGGAGCTGAGATAAAACTAAGGAGACAAGTAAATCAAATGTCAGCAAGGAAGGCCAGTGTCAGAAGGTGACGGTGATTAGCCAGCCACTATCACAGCCTAGAGAATAATGCTCCCCTCAACTGTTCTAATTAAGAAAGGCCATTTGTATTTCAACTTAAGGGCAATGAAAAGCATGAAGAATAGTTTAGCAGCTAATTTCATTTTTAAAAGATAATACCACAGCCTAAGCCACAGTTAACTATGGACAACAGACTGACACGGAAAGCTTACTAAGGAAAGCTTACTAAGTAAGGGCCTCTTTCTCCTATTTCACTGGATCTTCCTGTCTTCTCTCCCCTCATCTCTTTCCCTCTCTGTTGGTGTCTATCCAGGGATGCTTCATCCCCACCTCCTCTTACCCTTCCTATAATAATGCTCAGATCAAACTGATTTTCATGTATCCAGCTCACCTCAGGTTCTGAATTTTTAAAATGCACTAATTCACACTGCCTACTCTCTGTAGATGTCACACCCTCTAACAGTACAGAGAAGTGGCCTGGGGAACAGAATGACTCAAATGAGAAAAAAACAACTTCCCCTGTCCACACAAACGGAAAAGATCCCTCCTTCTTCTTCTTCTCCAGTACTGGGGATCAAACTCAGGACCTCACACTTGTGAGGCAGGCATAGCGTCACTGAGCTAAATCTCCAGCCTAAGATCCCTCCTTCTAAATGAACACCTGCCTCACGTTTTTACTCTTTACAAACAGTTCCTACAAGGGCTTCGAATCATTGACAAATACATATGCCTAATCCCAAAGGAAGCAAGCTCCTACATAGGAACTGTGTCTTCTACATATTCATCAGGAACCTGAGAGCAATGTCTTGGACAGGATGGGGTAAAACACATACTCTTGAGTAGGTGAATTACTGAATTAATGTGAATGAAGGCAATTAGGGGTGGGAGAGAGGAAAAAAAGCTTAGAGACACAGGAAGAAGGAAAGGAGAGCAAGAGGAGAAAAAAGAAGAATGCAGAAAACTATGAAGGAGGCTGTTTTTGTTACAGTATTTTTAAAAATGGAGTTGGAAAAGTCATGGGTATGTACACAATACAACTGTTATTGGCATCAATCTTTAAATTACCATTATAAACACTTTAAAATTATATTTTCAAAGTGTGGTCTCCAACAGCTTAACGTTTCAGACACACAGATTAAAACTGAGAGATCTGGGTGATTTGTGCAGGGTAAAGCTTGAAAGCCACCACCCTACACCATGCAGGTCCTTTCTGTTGTACAGAGCCTGCATTTTAAATGAGCCAATAGCTGAAAGTTGAGAAAATTCTTGTTTTGTTTTGTTTGGTGGTGCTGGGGACCAAAACCAGGCCTCATGCATGCTAAGCAAGTGCTCTACCGCTGAGCTACACCTCCTGCCTGAAAAAAATCTTTGATTAGAGTGAAATCAATCACTGTAATTGCATTTGACCTGTATGTATTTAACTTCAGGTGAAGTTATTAATTACAGAGTAACATGGCCCAAATGGTATACACTAAGATGAAAGGAAGCTGAGCAGCAGGTCAGTGGTACCCTCAAGAACTACTTTTGTTCCTTAATGCCTAAGCCAGAGGTTGGAATTATGTGTGTGGACAATGTTTCCTGAATAGAATAAATGAATTTTTAAAAGCCAAAGAATTCTAGGATAATTGTGAGGTTATGTAGTCCATTAGCCTCAATTTGAAAACGAAGGAACTGCAAAAGCAAGAAAGTTACAAGAGCCAAGGGATTCTATTTCAACGACTGTGGGCTCATAAAGAGATAGGGTTTTTAAAGGCACTTAGCGCTACTAGAAAGAAACAACAGGAATAAGAGCCTGGACAAAGCCATTTTGTAACCCTAATATTTTTGACAGGCCAATTCATTAATGAACTTAATCTGCCAAGAAGTTAATCTGAAGGACTCTCAGAAAAAGAAACATGAGCTCCAAAAAAATGTCACAAGGAGAGAGACTTCCCACAGCTAACTCCGACCTCCACAGCCCACTTCCTGTGCAGCGTGACCTCCTGGGATCGCCCCTCCTGCAGTATTCGCTTCCAGATGACTTTCGGTGTTATGGGGAGCCAAGGGCAAGCGGGAAACGCAAATCTTAACTAAACATTTAAAGAGAAGAAAGAAAGAAACTGCAGCCGTTCCCAGGCCTGAGGGGTCGGGAAGCACCGAGCCTATCAGCCTCGCGTCCCGGCCCAGCCCCGAAGCCGGACCCAGCTGCGCGTCCCGGCAGGAAGTCACCTCGGTGCCTGCAGATCGCGACGCCACCCAAAGGGCGCGCCCCGAGGTCCTGCTCGCTTCTGGTTCCTGTCCGACCTCACCGCAGAAGCGTCTGCAGGAGCCTGGGTGACAGCGCCCGGCTGCGGGGCGGGAAGGCGCCGTGCAAGGCCCCGGTCCCGAGTCGCCCGCGACCCCCACCACCCCGCGACCCGCGCCGCGAGAGGCCCGGGGCAGGGACCCAGCCGGCGTCAGGCAGCCCCGCTCCCTCACTCCTCCAGCCTCCCAGGACGGCACCTCCCGGCAGCGCCCACCCCGACTTCCTGGACAGCGCCGGGCCTCCCTCACCTGGCTGGCGCCGCCCGCCTCCTTCAGGACCCGCCGCTCGCTGCCGCCCCGTTCCCAGCGCCGCCGGCCGCCGCGCCCGCCTCAGAGCGAGACACCAGACCCACCGGTCCGCGCGCGTCTGCCTCCCCGCGCCGTCGACGCGTCGGCCCCACCCCGCGCATGTGCATGCTCGCCGCGGGAGGCATGCTGGGAGTTGTAGTCCGCGTGGGAGGCGGCCCGGCCCGGTACGGGTCTGTGCTGCCAGCGGCCGGCTTGGCGGGAGAAATTGCTTTCCGTTGGGGAGCACCGGCCGTCGAGCCTCCGGGAGCACAGCGCCAGGCTCTCTGGTAACAGAATCCCTTTTGACTTTGACCATTTGTCAAGAAGCGCACACGACAGGGCCGGTTTTGTACTCTCGGTTAAAACTGCGAGGACGTGACATCAGCCCTGTGAACTTGTGAAGGACCGATGCGAAAGCGAGCAAAACAAATACAAGTGACGCACGCACGAACCGGCCCGTGCCAGGCCCAAGCTTCCCTGGGCCTGCAAGCCCCTCCCGCGCCTACACCAGGTCTACACTGCAGGGGTGGGGTCGGTGTTGGCGACAGGCAGATTTAAACTGCAGCTCTTGTTATGATTATTTAAAAGGTTGTGAAATTACAGAAAATCCCTATACATCGAGTTTTAAGACTATCATGGGTGCACACGGGAGACCATTTCTCTGGATTCTCAGGCATGGTTTGGCAATGCGAGAACCCTGTAATGTTCAAGTAAATTTATGGACCAAGTGGGTGGGGACAGGACGGGGGTGGGG